TATATATATATATATATATATACATATATATCCTTGTTAGCATACATTCTATTTACTGCAATAATGTCATTATAAAATTTATAATACCCACATATATGAAATAATGAAGACATGAAAATAAGAATTACTTTCATGTATGCACATAACCACATACCGATGCACATACACACACATAATTTTAAAATTAAAAATGAATGTTATAAAAATAAATAAATAAACAAATGAAAAAATTTGGTGGTGCTGTGTGCTTTAAGCTAATCACACAGGATGGAGAGGCAGGTAGACATCTGTGAGGTCAACATCAGCCTGGACATATTGAGTTCCAAGATTGGCAGAGATACTTTTTGAGAGTGTTTGAGAACAAATCAGTATGCCTTCATTATACAAGTTCTAGAGGGAGTAGGAATGAAAGAAGCATACATCAAATAAAATATATAATAAACTTCAAAACAATAAATGCTCACAGCCAACATTATCCTCAATGGAGTAATACCATTAAATTAAATTAAAATCAAGAGTGAGACAGGGTTTCCTATTCTCCCCACTCTTTTTCAATAAAATCCTCCAAGTTCCAGATAGAGCAAAATAGCAAGAGGAGAAAATTATAGAAAAAGAAAAAAATCAAATTATTCTTATGCAGAATATATATATATATATATGAATATGTATGTGTATGTGTATATGTATAATTCCACCAGAAAAAATGTTGAAATGATGAACAATTTCAATAAAGAGGCAGGATACAAAGTCAGCTTACAAAAATCAGTAGCCTTTATGTACACCAGCAGGTTGAGAAGGTATATCATGGGCACATTTCCACTTACAAAACCTTCATAGTATATAGTAGACCTTGCAACGATCCTAATCAAATAGGGGAAAGAATTCTATAGTGAAAGCTTTAATTCTCAGATGAAAGAGATTGAGCCATTACAAGATGGAAAGACATCCTTTGATTCTGGACTGGCAGAACTGACATTGTGAAAATGAGGATTCTACCGAAAGCAATTTACAAATTCAAGGCAACAGCAAGAAAATCACCACAACATTCTTCACAGAACAAGACAAAAAAAAAATCATGAAATCAATATGGTATCCGAAAAGATTCTGGATAGCCACATAAATCCTTAATAATAAGAACAATGCAGGAATAATTATCACTCCAGATTCCAAAATATGTTCTACAGCAGTATATATAAACAATGTATCTTACTGGTTATATATCAATGGATGAAAACAAAATCCTCAAACATGAGTACACATGATTACAACTACCTGATATTTGACAAAGGTTCCAAAAATACACACCGGATAACAAACAGAATCTTTAAAAAGTATGCTATGAAATGAGCATATCCCATTTACAACAATGAATTAGATCCATATCGATCACCTTACAGAAAACTAACTACAAATGGATCAAAGACCTCAGTGTAAAATTTGAAATGCTAGATCTTCCAGGAGAAAACTGAAGCAGGACCCTAAAGAATATAGGTATAGGAAAGGATTTCATGAACAGGACTCCATTTGTCTGGAAATTAAGGTCAAATATTGACAAATATTGCCTCATAAAATTAAAAGTTTGTACAGAAGAGGAAGCAGTCAATTGAGTGAAGGTGAACACTACAAAGTGAGAATCTTTACCAGCTATACATCTGATAAATATTTAATGTCTAAATCTATAAGGTACCCAAAAAACAAAGACTCAAGAAAACAATTCATTTTAAAAATGAGATATGAATGAAGGGCACAGTGTCTCACACATTTAATATCAGCACTCCAGCAGCAGAGGAAGATAGATCTCTCTGATTTTAAGAATAGTCTGGTCTACATGGTGAGTTCTAGGACAACCAGGGCTATGTAGAGAGATTCTGGCTCAATGCAGGGGTGGGGGAGTGAGGAAATGGATTTGAACAAAATTCTCAAAAGAAGAAGTAAAAATGTCTAAGAAATATCTACTGATTGTTGTGATTACCCATAGAGATCAGGTAAATAAAAATTAGAACAACATCGATACTTCATCCTACCAATTTCAGAATGGCTAAAATCAAGAAAACCAACAACAACAAAATTCTGGTGAGGACATAGGAAAGTGGAATCAAAATTCACTGGTAGTGTGATTGCAAACTAGTGCAATCTGAAAATCTTTGTGGATAATCCTTTTAAAAAACTAGAAATAAATTTATCACATACTGGGTTGGGGATTTAGCTCAGTGGTAGAGGACTTGCCTAGCAAGCACAAGGCCCTGGGTTCAGTCCTTGGCTCTGGAAAAAGAAAAAAAATTACCACATAACCCAGCTATACCACTTCTTGTCATTTCTTCAAAAAGACAGCATCCTGCTCCACAGGTGTTTTGGAGACATGTTCATTGATGCTCATTCATAATTACTAGGAAATGGAAACAACCTAAATATCCTTCAACTAATGGATAGTGAATAGATAAGAAAATTCAGTATAAGTATACAATGGAATACCATTTAGCTGTAAAGAAAATTGAAACCATGTAGTACTGGCAGTATGTACTGCCACATATGGTAAATAAGTAAACTGCCTAAGAAAAACTGAAGGAGAAATGAAAGCACTAACTTTAACCTTAATTATGATTACCAAGCTTCCTTAGGGACTCTGAGGTGACACGAGTATAAGGAGACAGTAACAACCAGAGACAGCAGAGCTGCTAAAAGAACTAGGGAGTTCTGATTTGTGACTCTGCTTGCACCTCATCTGATGACCAGGGTCACATCTGCTCCCCCCCCCCCCGGAAAAGTGACCACCATGAATACCTACCTTAGTCAGCAAGTTTGGGCCTTTTCAACAATGGTTGGAACAAATAAAAGAAGTTTTTTTTGTTTGTTTATCTCTGAGTGCTGAGAATTTCTCCTTGGGAAAGTTTGAAGCCCCCACCTGAACAAAACAGCATGAAGGCACATAGCATGCCTTGTACATTGTTGGCAAATTACAGTGAATCCATAAGAATTTCATAACGAAATGTTTGTTTATTTTGTGGTACTGGAGATGGAACACTGGGCCAGGTTAATCTATCACTTGTCAGCATCTCTAGCCTCTCATAATACTTTTTGCTTGTTTGTTTTCAAGGCAGGGTTCCTCTCTGTAGCCCTGACTGTCCTAGAACTTTATTTGTAGGTCAGGGTAGGCTCAAACACACAGGGATCCACCTACCTCAGCCTTCTGAATGCTGTGATTAAAACTGTGCAGCAACACAGCCTGGCTGATTTTTTTTGAAAGATGCAGGTGTTCCTGTACCAGAAGTGGAACCCAGGCCCCCTGAGCAAAAACCAGGAATCCTAACTGCTAGACTATGTGGGATCATAATAAAAAATTTTAAATGAATACTCACATTATATTTTTGAGGTAATAATGTAATTGCACATTTCTCCTTTTCAAACACTTCCATATAAACCTTCCTTCTTTTTTTCGTATTCATGTCTAGTTGATAATATAATGTTATCAAATATATATATATACATATATATATCTCAAATATATATATATATATATATATATATATATATATATATCATGTTTGGTGTGTATAATCCTCACACATTTAAAAAGAATACCTACAAGTCGATTTGTGAAGACAGAAAAAAATTCTTTCACTAGCACTTTCTTGATCATGTCTGGTTCTGTGATGACTAGCACAGGAAGGAGTCCATCATATACCCTGTATTGGGAAAAAAGAGATGATTATGTTTTGATCCTGATGTTACCTCTAGTTCATGCTTCTGTGAACTGAACCTTGGTCTTCTGTAAGAAGAGGAAATGTTTATTCACTGCTACTTTACTACCGCTAAGGACAAATTATTAACAATTGGCAAGCAACAATGTTTCAAGGAATTTTTCCTTGGGGCCAATAGAAAGACAGCACAACATGCCCATGGCTTTGCGTCACATGTTCTTATTGACCATATCAGCTCAGAAGATCCTGTGATTAGTACTGTGGTTTCTGCTGGTTGATGGGAAGAGTTGAAGAGGCAGAACCTATAGCACCTTGCTTATAGCACCCAGCATAGTGATGTCACTTCTTCCTAGTCTCTAGGCAAATAACCAGTTGGCCCAGTCATCACACAAAATAAGTAATGAAACAAGCCCAGAAGTCAACAACATGTTATAAACAACCATCACCTTTTCTTCAAAGTGAGTAGTATGTGTTGAGAAGAAATAACCATACACATTCTTGTTAAAAAGTCACTGCCTTGTATAAAATGTAACAAAAATTGAAAAGTAAAAGAAAATTCAGCAAAATGTGTAATTACAGAACTCTAAGACCAGTAGTCATGAGACAGAGATGGAAGAAAGAGACTTCTGGGCCAATATGGACTCATAGAAACATTCAAACCAATGTTGGATATATTGAGACCTGGTCTCAAACAATAAACCATGGGGGAAGGTCTGGGATGCCTCAAACCTACAGAAAGAAGTACAGGCAGGTAAGGATGACTGAGATTGAGAGAAATTGTCTTCCCCAGAGAAAAGCACACAACTGGTTACCCAGTTCCACATAGCCAGCCCTGAAAACATACATGCAGTAGCACTATGCAGACTGAATATGTCATCGTTATGAATATAAATGCACTTATATATACATATAGTCATGTAACAACAATTAATGAAAACCAGAGGATGTATTTGAAGGTTGAAAGGGAAAGGAGAACGGATGTAATTATATTATAACCTCAAACAAAAAAAATGAAGGAATAAAAATAAGAAAACAACACTTGATTGATAAATTAAATTAAACAAAAATAATAACTAAAAATTTGTCTATTTTTCCCTTAGCTTATCTTTTAAAAGTACATATTTACTGGAAATATTTTTATAAAATTACTTTTGCTTTTATCTAAGTGCAAATCAGTATGGGCAGAAGAAACTCTCCTGAATTTATGAGTACATATTACATGCATCTGAATTAACACAATCTTACAATTTTTAAAAGTCTCAAAAAGAATAAATAGAGGCAGAAACCCTTATAAGACACTGGGTTAAAGTGAGGCTAGGTGTCTCTGGAACATCAAAGGATGCAGAGGAATCATGACCTGCAATGTCCTCATCTTAATTCAGACTTACTCAACAACATGCTTATGGAACCCTTGGCAAGACAGGATTTCAGACACTTTACATCAGGCAAAGGTGTTCCAGTTAATTCTGGACTGACAAAATTCTAATGCAGTTTGGTGTTACATCATAACAAATTCACATATCGGACATTTGCAGAATACTCACCCCCACATATCTCCATACTTTTTATGGCATTCTATATCGTATTTTGATATGCCCTGTGAAAAGAAAAGAAAATGGAAAGTCATTATTTTTCTACCTGTATTGGCAACCAAATGGGAAATAAATGACTCAAACCCCAGGACATCAGACACATTATTTAATTTTCCTACCAAGCAATTAATGGAAATCTTTCCATGTTCTATGAGAGAAAAAAAGAAATGCAGGAGACATTTGACATGGGGAATTTAAAGATACTCATGATTTCTTGTCTGGATATTGTACATTCCAAAATTGTTCCTTCTTTAATAAAAGTAGCAAGTGTCTTTATCGTTGGTAGTTCTTTGCTTTTGTTTTGACTCTGAAATCCTGGAACACTCTGTCTTTTTCCCTCCTTGGGTGCCTGAGGGAACCAAGAGTCAGGGAGATTGCCATGAATGTGAAAAATTGATTTGCTTCTCACTGCTTACTGCCCCTTTCACTCACTTGATGACTTCTCCAGGATTTCAGTATAGCCAGTAAATTGAAGACAACATTGATGTATACAGCATATTAGATTTACATAATTGCCTTTCAGAACATTAAATGAAAAGTAGCAAGGAGATAGAGGCAAATGATTTTGCTTCTAGTGTCCCTGTTCAACATGGAAAGATGAGGATATGCTGCCTCACATAAAGAAAACCTAAAAGTTAATACTTGGTTTGAACTTTCACCTCTGAATCTTTGAAAAAAATATTCCATGTAATCATTAAGTGGCAATTGTAATTTTGGTGGTTAGAATCCTATGGAAATCAGCCTAAACTCAAACTCTCTTGTATCTAAACTAACCTTGAAATTTCAATCCTTCTGAAGATAGTGATTACAGGTGTGTGCCTCCATGTCCAGGTTTTATATTGCTGGGATCAAGTCCATAAAAGCTTTTTCCATTTTAGAGAAGCATTCTACAGAAGGGAATTCCATATTCAGCCACTGTGAATGTCAACTATACAAAACAATGTCTCTAGGCAGGTAATAGAACCTACTGTATAGAGCCTAGTATTTAGAGCCAGACTGAACTAAGGTATTCTCTGAGGTCCTAATGAAATTACAAAGGGAACATTACTTCTGGGTCCTTGTCTAGGAACTGCATTAGCAAGATCCAGGCTGGGGCTAGAGCCAGTTCCTCAAAAGAGTGAAGGTTGTAGCTTCTTAGGAATTTGACTTTTTCCTGGTCTGTGCTTCAGTCCTAATAGATCTGTGACTGAAGTATGGATACCTGTTTTGTTTGTTTGTTTGTTTGTTTGTTTTGTTTTGGTAGCCTTTTATGATTTAGCTGTGTGCTAGCCTTGGCCATTTTCCTGTTGCATATACTATGTAAAAAGTTTGCTGCTTAAAAAATCTTCTGATATAAATCATCATTTTATGCAAGACCTCCTGGGCATAGAAACACTTCTTCTTTATTTATCATACATGCTCCACCCTGAAACATCTCATCACCTTGACCATTGGGATTCTCATTCCTTCCGGTTCATGTAATGTGGTACTCTATGCAGCGCTTGAGATTGCTAGAAATCCTCAAGAATGAGTGTTACTGTAACTAAATGTACAAAAAGTGTCAGACGTGTGGCCCTGTAAAAAAGAAAGGATGGAGGAATAGCTGAGAGTAAAACATGGGAGGAAAAGATTCTAAAGAACAATCTCTTTTCTTTCATTTTTTTTTTGGCTTCTACTTTGTCATGTTTCACTATGGTACTTAGTTAAATTCTTTATTTTCATTAAAAAATATACCCTTGCTGTGCAGTGGTGGCACACGCCATTAATTCCAGCACTCAGGAGGCAGAGACAGGCGGATCTCTGTAAGTTTGAGGCCAGCCTGGTCTACAGAGATAGTTCCAGGAAAGCCACAAAGCAACACAGAGACCCTGTCTAGAACCCTGCCCCCCCAAAAAAATACCCTTGGTTTCCTGAATAAGGTTCTGTAATTTAAAGACATGGGAACATGTAGGTGGATGTTTAAAGACAGAATATCACCTATGAGGGTCACATGAGTTTCCTATTTTGGATTTGTGCTGTCAAATTTTATACATGACTAGGTATACCCACAGCTTGAATATGATGCATTTGTAATTCAACACCACTGTAGATCTAGCCAATATATTCCAAAACAAACTAGGGATACAAGAAAAAAATAAAATTTCAAAAAATAGAGATACAAGGCCCTGAGAACCAGGAGGTACCTTAATTTCTTGAATTATTTTCACTTCATGATACCTCAGAGGATGAGGAGAAACTTCTTTTTTGCTGGTGCAGTTATAAAATCACCTGAATTGGCTCCTAATCATCTAACTGAGTCAAAAGCCCAATCCTCCTCAGGATCCTCCTAATTTAGCTTTTGACTTCCTTCCTCTAGTTTTCAGAAACTTATGAAAATAGATCAATAGAAGATGTTACTACATGGTATGGCCAAGAGCCCCAAAAACTTTTGTCAACAATTTATTGTTCAAACCTTACTCCCAGTTAGAAAAAAGTACCCTTCTTTCATAATTATTTATTACCTAGGGGATTTCAGCACCTAGTGAAAATTTAATTACTCAGTTATTCCCGACCATCCACCATCACTTACAACAGTCTCAGCTGAAAATTTCCTCAGAGAAATCATAGATTACACCTATGTTTTCTTATTTAGATCATACTATAGAAGGCAGTGCCATTTGTCCACAAATATTAGATGTAGCTGATACCTTTTATTGATTTGCAAAAGATGTTAGGAGATATTAATTGACTAAGACCTTCCCTGAAACATACTGTAAAAGATTTGACTCTATTTTTTCATATTAAGAGGAGATGATGACACCTCTTCTAGAAAGCTTATTCCTGAGGTTCAAACACATTACAATTGTTATATTGAATCATCACTCATGTACAGTTGACAAGTATTCTCCCAAAGCTTCTCCTATCTCCTATAGCTACTCCAACATATCCTTCTGGCTGACTTGTAACTTAGGGAATTTATAGAACAATTTTTTTCTACCCACTGATGCTGGCTGTCCCTCAACTTCTTATTATAAAATCCTGGATCAACTTATCTAGAAAACAGGTGTCCTCAAGCCCTTCATTTTATTGCATGATAAATTGACATGATAGTTCACCCCTTCACAACTTAATTCACTTTGGGTCTACACTGACTCTTGACAGGCAGCTCTCTTTGATCTTATTTGTCAGCTTTGTACTTCATATCCTACTGATCCTTTAATGTAAATATTCCAGTACTACTTTCTAGGAGCTACACAATCCCAGAAACAAAATAATGTGTTCATTGGTGAGAGCCTTTTGGGGTGCCTAATGTCATACTTCAAGAAGTAACTCCTCATATATTGAATGTTTCTTTTTTTTTTAAAGAAAATTTATTTTATTTTTATGTGCATTTGTGGTTTTGCCATGGGTGTCGGGGTCCCCTGAAACTGGAATTTCAGACAGGTGTGAGCTGACATGTGGGTGCTGGGAATTGAACTCAGGTACTCTGGAATAAGAGTCAGCACTCTTAACCCCTGAGCCATCTCTCCAGCCCCACATTGAATGTTTCAGCTTAAGTCTTCTAAGAATTTAGATGATTTTTGCATTCCCTCAACTTCTAAACACTCTGATAGTTTATATTTCATGTAAGATGTTCAAATATTTCCTTGTGCTCTTATTAAACAGACTGAGGATGAAGAAATGTTTCACCTGTTTCAGCATGCCAAACAAAAGTTAGAACCAGTAAGCTCCTTAATTTCTCCAATTCTTTCAAGCTGTAGAACTAGCTTCCCATTTTTCTATTCAGAAGGTTGCTGATTCTGCTTTCTTTAAGCAAGCTATTGCCCCATGCAAATCACCATCAGCAATGTGCTATGCCTCAACCCCAATTACAGTTACCTAGAGTTCAAGTATGACAAATGGTCTCAGATTTTTCTGCTTGTATAACATATCTGCCTTCTTGTTATGATATAAAATCTCCAGGGCTTACTACCTTGTGGCAGAGAGATGTTATGGGCATTTCAAATTTTTGGCAGCCTCAAATACATTCATGTTAGTATGACATTTATTCTGGGTTCCTCCTCATGTCTATCCTTTTAAATGAGAAAACTGGTAAGCATTTGATTACTACTTGCCAGTGAACATTTTTTTATAGCTGGCCCTCCAAAAATGTTTTCAAATAACAGTTAATTCTCCAGCATAGACTTCTGATGCCTTTAAGAAATTTTGTGCTACATTATGTATTATACATTAAAACTGGCTTCTCTTGTATTTTTCAATGACAAGAAATTGCACACGGGGTTCTTAAGATTTTGCTTGAAAAAATAAAAAGTGGGAGTATACATACCTTCTTACTTCTACAAATCTTAAGTGATCTTTAATTTAATATGTTCTGAGAATGGAACGACAAGGATTAACTGTCGCAGAAAATGTTTGATTTCAGATTTTTGTGAAAAGTTCCTGCTCTAGGGGAAAGGTGTGATCCTGACCTTGTGCTCATGAAGAGAAGAGGATGTTTGTATTTTCCTACAGGAAGCTGTGGATCACATTGTGTACCAAAACAACTTGTTCTGCATTACTAGGCTATGAAGACATTTGCTCTGGTACAGTTGACCAAAGCTAAGGATACAGATGATGATGAGTTTGAAGGCAGTATGCAGTGCAGTACACAACTTGCAGTCCACCTGGTAAAGCTCACTCCCAACTTGGGGACAGATTAAATGTCTCACACCAGAAGGAATTTGAGTGGTCAAGGAGACATGGAAACCTGTTATTCACACCCTATTTATTTTAGCAATTCTGGCATTACCCTCTGGCACACGTGGAAAGTGTGGAAGTCTACTGGGCCTACCTAGCTTACACTCCCCTTGGCTTATCCAATCACAAGGGAAGATCTGCCTACTAGAGTATTTACTAATGATATGCTTGTTTATTTTGCAATGCTGATATTTCACATGTTGTGCCTGGCACCATTCACTTTAACTATATTGGTAGATCATGAATCATTCTTATTTGTTTGTCATTGGTGGGACACTATGACTATGTTCTTCTCATGTGAGTGACTGGCAAGACCTATAGTTCAAGATTCCATGTGGGCTAAAAAAATCAAGCATCATCAACTCATTCATCATTCTGATTACCCATAGGTTACACCATTGGATGGGCATTTACCAGAATTCAGTGATTTTCCTGAATTTCGCTTGAGTTGCTTGCTCCATGATCCTAAAGTGCTTATTGCTACCATTCTCAGGTGCTGGTTGTCTTGTCTTAGTGGTGCCCACCTGGTCTGGATGAATATAAATCCTAAAATCCTCTCATTGGCCACTTCCTATTTATACTATCTTTAGAGAAAAAGAACATTAGGAATTGAGCCACCATCCTGGATAATGGGATGACATATGGGGTTTTTAGAGAAGATGACCAACCATGCATATCATTTTATATTTGGCCTTACTTATTGTATTTAAACTCCATATATGTAACTGACTCAGAGTCCCTCTATTAAATAAAGGGGAGTATACTTCAAAATTGCATGTGTTACTTGTATCCTCAATAATTGTATAGATGCTTTTTTTCATGGGAACCTTCTTTAATTTTAACATTCTTGCTTTGCTATGGTTGCTGTGCAACCTAATGATCCTTTAAGTATGGGGACTTTCGGCAACACAGTCTCTTTGAATTATATAAGGATTTTATTTTATTATTAATTTTTTGAGATAGGGTTTCTCTGTGTCGCTTTGTGAATTTTCTGGAACTCAATCTGTAGTCCAGGCTGGCCTCAAACTCACAGAGATAGATTTGCCTCTGCCTTCCGTGCAGGGATTAAAGGTGTGCACCATCGCCACTCAGCTCTGGATTTTATTTTAACTATAATTTTTGCTGTACTTACAGCTCTCCAGTCTGAGACTGCTTCCACAGTGGCCCTTGCCCAACAAGTGCAAACTGCCCATTTTGTTAAACAGATTCCATATAATACATCTGTAGATTAGATAAACATAGATAAAAATAAAAACCACAACTAAAAGATAAGTTAAATGCTCTAAAAGTTTGTTTATTGAGCCTGGGAGATGCAGTTAATGCAATGTACTGTTAAATATCTTTACAGTGTCCTGCTGGCTTTAGATATATCTGTGTTAATCCTCCTTTAAATTATGATGGATGTGAATGGAAATGGGAGAGAATTAAAAATAATTTTCATGTAATATGACAACATCAGAATGTTATTTTAGATTTTGTAACCCTCAAGCAAATAGTTATTGTCATGTGCCATGCTCATTACACATTCAATTTCCCTTTAGATCCAGCCAAAGATGTATTACACAAACTTCCAGATGTAATCTCCCTAACATTGTTAAATATTTGTTCACTATTGTCCTCAGATTATTTGTGTTGATAATTCATCTGATAATATGAGGAGTCATTTGCTAGTTTAAAGCATATTTTATGCTCTTAAATACTTAAACACAAATGACTCATCTGGCCGTAAAAAGCAAAAAAGGTCCTTTTTGAAACAGACTAACTCAAAGTTATCTCAGATACCATTGTTAAAGAACAAAAGGCATGAGAGTTCTTTGACCTTCCAGAAACAGATTTGACAAGTTCCTGTCTGGGTCTGGGGTCAGGGCCTCTAAGAAGTTTTGGTTGTAGTTTATGGGGATCCTAATCTTTTCCCTGGGTTGTGGTTATCAGTCATAAAGGCAGCTGTATCTGAGGTATTCTGGGTTCTCTTTGCCAGCATTGTCTGACTTAGCTCTCAGCTGACATTGAACATTCCTGAATGTAAATAGAAAGTATTTAAGGATCTATGCTGATTAATACACTTCCTTGGCAAAAGTTACCAGCTTATGCTAGTCTCTGGTATCTGTCTTTTTTTTTAATTTCTTTCGCTTGGTCCTTCCTCTCAAAACCTCAACTTTTGGGACTCTTATTTTTACAGGTTTGGGTCAGCATAGTATAACCATAGCCCTATTGATACCTAGTCACCTATAAATAAGATATCATGGTATAGCCAAGGACTGAGTAAAATTAATCAGTTGTCAAAATCTGACAGCAAGTTTGAGACTAATCTTGCCTACAGGAGATACTACTTGAAACAAACAAACAAAAACCCAATAAGTGTATTTCAAAGATTACATAAAAAAAGAGGTCATCCAAAAATGATAAGGAAGTTATTGCTTTTTCAACTGGGGACAAAGCATGGAATTCTTAGTAACTTATGCAATGGAGTCCTTGGTTTTGAAGAATTATGATATAATAAGTAAACCTTAGAATTCAGAAAAGCAAATCATGCAAGAGTGCAGTCTGCAAGTAGGCACTGCTCCTGCACACGTGCTCAGGAGGAAGGACAGGCCAAGAGTCCAACCTTTAGAACACATCCAAAAACACTCTGTGTAAATTCACTGACCCTATTATATAGGTACATGTATATGCATAAATGTATGCAATTATACATATTATGTTTCACATACTACATGTATATTTTTCACAGATTTGTCAACTCATGCTTTTATTAGTACTTTTGTATAAATTATTCTGCTTCTGTTTCAAGAAACAAAACTCATAGTCTGGTTAATAGGCAACATCATCTACTCTCCCATATTCCTGCTCTTTAGACTCATGCATAGTGTTGTACCTTGAAGTGAAAGGGAGTAAAGGCAAATCTTCTTCTAGGTGCCAAAAGCTTGGCTAGAGCCTTGGAAGTAATAATGGGATTAAACAGTTCAATTAAGGATTCAAGTATGTGCATAGTCCCCAAAAGTAACTATCTGCTTCTTGATAGGCATGTTCAAGAGATACACAGCAAGGAGTGTAAATGTTATTACTGAACTCAGTTGTGAATAAATCACTCAGGTTGGTGAGGTGCTGCTAAGTGGCCTTACATGTATTTCTTTAAATACAGATTAAGAATAACTGTACTTTTCTGGAATCTGAACTAAAAGGAAACAAAATCTTTGATGCTCTCAAAGTCTACACAGCAGCATTTTAGCTTCAGGTCCTAGTGTGTTAACAGCCAGGGTCCTCACCTGACCTGACACAAACCTGAAGTCATACCTGACCTGCCACAAATCCGAGGTCATAAACACATTTAGTAAAACCCAAGGGTAACCTGGCAATGATGTGGGTGTGACAAAAACAATTCTGCCAAATGAAAGCCTTACAGTTGATCCCAATGTCCATTAGAATGATTGAACTGACATGGGGTTTAATATTTGTGTAAGTGACACTGTCACAAGAAGCCAGGTAGGAAACCCAACACTCACCCTCTTATAGTTAAGCATCGTCCCAACAAAAGGCAGAGGTTTGGGGCCAGGAATCCCCAGCTTCTTAAAAAGTCCATGAGAAGAGGTCCCATAGCTAAAACATGGATGAGAGAGTCAGTCAGATCATGAGCTTGTTAATCATACATGTAAATATTCATAATCATACACACACATAAGTAAACACATTCCCACATGCCATATAAAAATATACATATTTATATCTACATATATATACTAATTCATGTATATTATTGACTCAATATGCATTATATGAGTAGATATAAATGTATATATATGATATATGAGAATATATATATATATTTTCTTGGATGCAAATATTGAGAATTACCAGAATTTATTCAGTGAGGTAACAAGTGGGAAGAATATAACATAAAAAATTCAGGGAACTAATCCCCTTCATATAACATCTTACTATAAACTTTTAGGTTAACACTTAATGGTCCCAGTCTTACAGTTAATATGTAATAATACTTTATAAACTTGAGTTTGAATGTTTTTGAAGGACTCACTAGACTTAGGAAGTTATCATACATTAACAGTGTGAGTAAACTATAATACAAGATCCACATGATCCATCCACAACATTATGTAAGCAGCAAACAGTGAGGTTGCTCAGAGCGGGAGGACAGCCCACCAGCAGAGCCCCATGACAAGACTCTATAAACTGGCCTGTCCCTCAGACTGAAAAGTGTGCAGAGCTTCCCAGGTGCAGTTTTGGGGCAGGGGAGATGGCTCAGCAGGTAAGAGCATTTTCTGCACTTGCAGAGGACCCAGGTATTGATCCTAGCCCCCAAATAAGAGCTAGCAACATTATATAATTCCAGTCCCTGAGAATCCAATGCCTTTTTTTAATTTACATGGGCATCAAGCATACATGTGATATAGATACATACATTAATAGGGGCAATATAAAAATTTATTTTTTAAGATACCAATTTCGGGCATCCTCTGTTCAGGTGTGGGGTTTTGATGCTGCAGTTGCCTTTGAGTCATTTATGCAACTCCAAGTAACCCTTCAAACAAACTCCTGTGGTAACTTCATAAACTCATGTCTCTCCAGGGTGGACTTTGGAGGAATGGCTACATTGGTTTGTCAATTGTTCCCTACTGAGGTCAAAGGATATTTGCTCCCATCTTTCCCAGAAAATGCAAATAGCTCAATAAGTTATCCAAATGAACTCATGAGGCAATGACCTACAGACAGCATTATCTCTGTTCCGTTTCTTCCTAGACCCTAGGCAGCACAAAGGCAGCTTTCTGTACTTAGATGATCAGCCACAGGCACTTAGTTAACTGTCAGTAATACAATAATTTCTCAACAATACTGTCTGGACAGACAGGCCTGAGTCTAAGTAATCGTTAACATCTCAGGTGTCTTTTCCCTCATTGTGGGTTCAATGTTTTGCACACCTTCCTATCCCAATGTGACAAAATCATGACAGAAAACAAACAAGAGAAACAGCAGACTGTAATCATTTCAAGCCTGCTCCTGATTGTCTCCCATTGTTGGATTTTTAACATTACTTGAAAACACTTGGCTGAAAAGCACAGTGAATTAAAAGATTTAGGTTACAGGAGAAATGTGTTCAGCTGTGGGAGAATGAATTTCCATTGGATTATACCTCTTGATTTTCTGACAGGGAAAAGGGGCCTGAGAATTATTCACCTCTAAGCCCACAAAAGAGAGACATCTAATCAATTACTTACAGGTAGAGGAGCACCAGGATGGTAGCCAGAAGTGCCCATGTTTCTGTGGAAAAGTTTGGAATCAGGTCCATTGCTCTTTTACTTCAAGAAATCTCTCTTTTCTTGATAGGTGAGGACCTGAGTTCTTCTGAGTTCAGGTGTGAATCCCTGAAGACAATCTGTAGTATTTATGTGCTAGGAAAAGGGGTGGAGCAGTCACTAGTGCCCTTACAAAGATCAACTGTGTATCTTCCATGGGTATGGAGAATATGAGTGACCTCTTCAGTTGACAGTTCATAATAGTTCATGTTAACCCACATTTTGACTTCTTTTTAGTTCTTTCCCCTAGGAAACTAATAAATAACTAAACCAATGTTCCTGATAAGACCAGAGGTTATAGATGTTTGTCAGAGAAATGCAATAGAGTGATTGACATTAAATGTCCTTTGATATTTACAGGACTGTCTTTATTTCAAAACACATTGAATCTTTGTACACAAGCCCAATTTATAAATATTTACACATGCATATTTCTCTCTGTGGCACCATGTGTATACCCTATAAGATGAATGATAGCATTTAATAAAAAAAAAATTGACAAAAAATAAATAAATCACATCATCCCCAGATAAACTAAAGCTTCACAAGCATTTCTTTTATTGTCATTTTTGCTGCATTCGTGGTTTCTGTATATATTTCCATTAAAGTTTGAAATTACTAATGGGCATTGCTTACTATTATTTTCCTATGTTCTTTGTCAATTAAATATGTTAAATATACACCCATAGGCACCATAATGTGTTAGTGTTACAAACCCAAGGTTGAATTTTTACTTCTTCCCCTGTGCCATCCCTCTCTCTATGGTATGTGATGGTATGTAGGGCATCTGAACCTATGAATCTGTGTGTACCTACTATTTCTGTATGTTTCCCTAACAAAGGACTTAGCTCTGTATTTTTTGGACAGTACAGAAAGCATGGCATGCATAATGAATGGGGAATTATTTACAGAAATCATTAACAGAGTTTTGTGGAAGGGGTGGAAATAATTCACTGACACTAACAAACACTGAAACACTCAGAATACTAAAAGAGTATGGCAAGCATATACTATCAATCTATATCTGTGTGTTATTTGCAATATTAATGGTGGATATTTGTTTATAGCTTTGCTTCCTACCTATGGGGTGCTTTCAGCAAGTGATTACCACAACACACCCATGAAATACTATGAGCCAGTGGCATGGAAGGATATATAATTTAAGATTAAAATTGTGCATTAGTTTAGGATATAAAAGCTAATTACATGGGAAATAATCAAAGGTAAGTGAAGTTGTTTATAACATTGTTGTCTTAAAGGCAGGTTAATCAAAACAAATATATAGTAGGGTATCAGCATAAATCTTAAGTGATGTCAAGGTACATTATTAAATTAGCTATGAGGTCCAGAAAAAGTTCAATCTCTATGAAAGTAAGAGACAATAAGACTGTAAAGCATCTAATATTCTATCAATACATAGACCATATCAGATTGGACATCGAAATTGGTTGGTTAAGTTGAGTTGAAGAGGCTGAGTAGTTCACAAATGACATCCTTTTGGTCCACTAAAGGTTATACTCTATGTGTATGACCTAATGAGGGGCTCACAAACCTTGCATGCATGCTCAGACAATACCTGATATAGAAATACATTTGACATCTATCACTCTATAGAGACTGACAGTGTCTCGTGTGACCTGAACAACAATCTTGATAGGAGAGTTCCCACAAGTGAATTTTTAAGAATTACAAAGGACAGGTCAGAGATATGACTCCATGGTTAAGAAGTCTTGGTGCTCTTGCAGAGGACCAGTTAGGTTCCCAGCACCTACATGGTGGCTATGTTGGTTTGAGTAGGAATGTTCCCCTGAAATGTCATATATTTGGATGTCTGCTCATTAGGAAGTAGTGCTACTTGAGAGGGATTAGGAGGTGTGACCTTGTTGGACATGGTTGTCACAGATGTAGGCTTTGGTGTTTCAGAAGCCCAAGTCAGGCCCTGTGACTCTCTCTTCCTAATGTCTATAATTTAGGATGTAGAGCTCTCAGCTACCATGTCTGCTTGCATGCCTCCATGCTCTCCAGCATGATGATAATGAACTAAACCTCTGAAACTGTAAACAGTTACCAATAAAATGCTTTCCTTTGTAAGTATTGCCTTGGTTATGGTGTCTTTTCACAGCACTAGGACATTGATTAAGACGGTGACTCACAACCATCTGTAACACCAGGTGCAGTGGATCTGACATCTTCTTCTGGCATCTACATGCACCAAGCACACAAATGGCACACACATACACGTAAGCAGAATGCTCATACACTTAAAATAAAATTAAACCTTGTTTAGTAAATAAAAATGGGTTTATGTTTATGAACATATTTCCTTTTTACTCATTTGAACTGTCTTTTCTCCTTTTCACAATAATCCACACACTACATATTTTCTGTACCTGAAGGAATGAGACATCTTCTAGTTTGGACTGTTGGAAAATAAGTGTGTACACACTCCTAATTTACCTCCAGTGAAACTGTAGTATGTGGGATACTGAGAAACATGATCAGTGTTTTTATTATGTCCAGAAATTACCAAAAACCATTCACCATTTTTTACCTACACACCTCTGAGTGTTGCAAGACACTGGTTGTAGTAGAAGGGTGTCTTCATGGTACAACATAGTCACTTCTTCATCTGCTTGTTTGCTTTCATCTTTCAATTTTTTTTGTTGTTGTGTTGGTGGTGATATGATGGTTTTGTTTTGTTTTTGCTATTATAAGTTGATGTAACATTTCTAGATTTGTTTTTCCTCCAAGACTCATTAGATAAAATGCATAGTTTTCCCTAAAAATTGCCATTGACCATTCATCCATGCATAGACTCAATGCAAATGAAGAAATGTCATCTGGGGTCTCCTGTGTAGTGTGCAGGTTGACTTATAAATGTTCCTTGTTCAGGTTTTGCCTCAGGTGGGGTGAAAAACAAGCAGACATGTTCATGCAGTCTTGTTCTGAGAACATGCGTAATGCACTTGAGGAATAATCAGAAATATGAAAGAAAACTGGTGGCAGAGAACTTGTCTTTTAATGAAGAGCAAATAAAAATCTTGGATACAGTGTGCAAGAAGAATAGGATTGGTAGCTCAGGAAATCTCAATGCATGGCTGTTTTGTTTTATTGACGTTAACTGCTTAATGTGGTTATATTACTGTCTCTGGTATATAGAAGGAGAAACTGAAGCTCAGTGATTTAAATGTGCTCCCCAATAGCCATAGATCATAGGAGATCATAACAGACTCTCATATGTAAAGGTAACATGAAAGCAGGTTGAAATTCTCTTTGGTACTCAAGTACATCAATATTCAATATCTGTCATTCTAAAGAAAGAATCATAATAAGAAACATGCAGATACAAGACTACAAACACTTATCTGTTGAATTCTTCTATCTACCACGGCTTTAACCTCAACCATTTCCTATAGATAACCTAGAATATAGGACCTGCTGTATGACGCTAGTCTTGGGATGATGTGAACAAACATTTACTCACTCCAGACAGTGAAGCAATGACAGACCAAAGTAAGAATACCACAGAAGTTCTACTTGATAAACCAATAAATTTTATTGTGGAAAAATGACTCAAAGACAGATACATTTCCCAAAGCCCACCTCAACATCTGTGGTGGCTCACAAAAACTGGAAACCTGGAGCACACAGCACAGCTAGCAGGCAGCCTGACATGTTGGAGTGTCTGTTCTAGGCAGCTGTTCTTGTCTTTGAGTGTCTCTCTGAAGTTCTAACGGCTTATAAATGCATGCGGAGGGAGGGAGATAGTGAATTTTGTCAGTGTTAGGGATTATTTGAAGACTTTGAGTAGTTTGCTTCCTGAAATTAGCAGCTTCCCTGCAGAATGGAATGCTTTTTACCTCTTCTTAGATTAGGATTCTCAACCTCTCTAATGCTGTGACCCTTTAATACAGTTCTTCATGTTGTGGTGACCCCCAACCATAATTTTGTTGTTGTTGTTGTTGTTGCTACTTCATAATTGTAATTTTGTTACTTTTGTCAATCATAATGTAAATATATGATAAGCAAGATATCTGATGTGTGGCTCCCATGTAAAGGTTGCTAAACCATCAAAGAGGATATGACCCACTGGTTGAGAACCACTGCCTGAGACCATCATATGTCATAAAGCATTTAGTTACCTCATAAGTATAATACTGTTATTGAACCAGTAGGCACTTTTTGTCTGACAGGTTGGTATTGCAGCATGCAGGCTCCAACACTGCATAAGATCACTGCTATCTCTTCCCATGCAACAGCCTATAGCACCTTCAGGCAGTAGGAAAGCTAAATGGTAGGTAGTAAGTTTCCTGACTTCTCTATGGAAATGGACTCTTTTTTTTGCAGAGGAAATTTCAATATAGTATAGCAGTAAGGCTTCACTGTGGTTCATTCTAATTTCTCCTATCCAGATCTACAGTGAAAGAGAAATAAATGAAGCAGGGAGACAAAGAGAAGCATACAGATGGGTAAAGAAAGAGGAGCATGGATGCATTTAAAGTTTCAAATGATGTAGGTTCAAAAGTACCTGTAACTGTTGGAAGTGATGTATGAGTCCTGCGTGAAAGTAACATAGCTTCTTCCCCTGGACACTAGGAATATGCCTTGAGGACAAGACCCAGAATCCACCCTGAGAATATTCAAACTCTAAAGGTAGAGAGCCTGAACCTGAGCATCCTACAGGAGCAGAATCCTAGAAGTCTTTTCACATATTTATTTATTGAGAAACCTAGAGTCTACTGCAGTTGTGGTCCATGGAGGCTAGAGAATAGCTCAAGCTGGAAGCAGAGTGTGTCATTCACATGGTTCTGCTTTTGAGGGAATAAAAACACAAGAGTGAGAAAGCATGGAAACTTCGCTGAGATTCCTGAATGTTGCTGAGGCCAAACAATGTGCAGAAAGCACGAATTTCCTGAAAGGACACCCCTAGGGGACACTGCATGAAGTTATGAAGCTGAAGAGCCCAGAACTTTGGAGATGACATGGCCATAGGATATATACTAAATTAAGAAGGAGTTGAGTCAAGAGAGATGTACACACTGTAGATTGCTAAATTTGAGGGGAAGGCTTCACCAAGTTCTTTAGAGACCATAGGATTTCATCACAAGCCTGATGCTGAAAATTGAGTTGAAAGATGTCATGTTTATCCTTTGTAATTTTGGTCAAGCTACAATCTAAACCTCCCTTGCTATAACATCATTTATCTCTTTGGAATGGAGATACTAAATCATTGACATTATATATTGGATGAATGTAACATT